GACTTCCTTCACCTCTCCCTGCGCCATCTGCTTGGCTCAGACACTACTATGGCCACTAACTTGCTCTCATCCCCTTCTTGCTATACAAAAAGCCAAAAGGCCAGACTGGGGTGACTCAAGAGGCTTTTACGCTCACCCCTGCAACAGGTTGAGGCTCCTGGTGAATCGAATTTCCTTCCCAGTAGTAGTTGGGCTGTGGCTGACCTGCACCGTGTCTCCTAGAGAAAAAAAGCAACATCCTACAATGCAGCTGGCAGGAGGAATGTGTTCATACCCTATTAATTAGTGAAATAGCTCTCCTCTGTTAGTGTTACAATAGCTTCCTGCCTCTTGAAGCAAGGAAACTTCCTGTTTAGGCTGGTGGATTGATTATATACTTGATCCACAGCACCTGACACTAAAAGCAACTTTATGACACTTGCTTCTCCTTATGGGGTTGACCAGAATCAGCCACTGTGTTTTCTGGTATTTTTGGCAAGCTAAGTACCAGCATGAGATCTAAGCTTGGAGGGGAACAAAACGGTAGTTAGGGTTTACAGCCAAGTTCCTGGTGTGATGAAAATGCCACTGCCACAAACCCTCATCGCCACCGTAGCTTGTTCTGCAGCACTCCAACCAATTGCCACATTGCCCATTCTGTTTTAACACAATCTATAATGTCACTGATTGCTGGATAAGACAGACAGACAGTCTGCATGGGGATTTCAGCACAGGGAAGAGAAATTAAAAATGCAAAATAGAAAAACAGATGGCATAAGCTTCATTAAAATAATATCTCATCTCCTGGGGATCCCAGGAGGATCCATTGCATTCTGGTGGATATGGTGCCCCTGAGACTTACACTTGGGGATTATTCTGTTCCTACATCTCGCCTTATCACAACTCTCTTCTGTTTTCACAAAGCTTGTGGTATATGCTCCATCTGGACATGCCTCCTAATAAGGATGTGCTGGAGACATCCACACTAAGCACTAATGTATACCCAGACTTCCCTCCTTCTCTCGCCTGTGCCAGGACCCTCCTTATCAAGTGATTTTAAAGACAGAAAGAAGCAGTTCCTGACAGAAAGATGAAATGGGAGTGTTAGAAAAGTAAGAAATACATAATTAATATGGACATAATATCAATAAAGGTTTAGGATGATAAACTACACGAACTGGGAGATGTTATTTCCACTTAGTGTGAAGCTTTCCTCTTTTTTGTTGTGTTCCCAGCAGCAAGCTGAATGTTTTACTGGTTCATTTATAACCCAGGTGTAATCCTTAGGAATTCACTAGAAATATGTCACCTGCAAAGTTTTTCTTGTATCTAAGTGACCCCCAAAGCAAACACATGGCCAAATGTATTTATTCAGAGGGGGAGAAACAACAGAGGAAAAGACCATTCGAGCAGTAGGATGAATCTGTGTTCCATGCATGCAGCACAGCAAATTCCTTCTGTCACACTTCAATCACTGCAGCCTCTGGAAGCAAAAGTTGTATTCATGCTGGGTTGGTATTTAACTGAGCTCACTTGAACCAAGCTTCCAGCAAGCACATGTGACAGATTTATATATGAATCTTCATGGACTGAAAAATGACATTTATCAACCTTCCGTCCGAGCATTTGACATTTGAACAATTGATTCTGATTTAACAGTGAAAAATGCCACTACCCATATGGAAAATCCACAATAGGATTAAAACCCTAGTTGCTACCATCCCAAACAATGGCTCCGCCAGTTAAGCTATCAAACATTTATGTATTATTTTAACTTTTTCTAGCTTTAAAGAGATTAAAAAAACAACCCAAATCCTGACAAGTTTAATGCAGAAGAGACAAAAAAGTCTATTTGGAGGAACAGGGGCCAGAGCTAGGAGAGGTGAACCATTAAACTGCTTGCAAATTGTAAAGGCTGGGCAGATTTTAAGAATAACAGCAGCAAGAGCTGATGTGGATTAAAAGCACGCTACACTGGCTACCGACAATACCGTCAGTCTCATTTTGCCACAGGTAATTCAGAGTTTATCTGAGTATGGCTAAGAGTAGAGTGTCAGTCCAAATGCTACTAGATATGTGTTCACCTAATTATAGAGACATGCTGTCTCCACAGGCAGAGAGGGAGATGTTTGAGCAGATTTCTCTCTGGAGACAAGACAAGATGATATTTGGCAGCCTTGCAAGACAATTCCTCTTAACCATGTAGGTTTCTCCCACTATTACCTTCATGAGAAGCCTGGAGAAGAGAAGGCTGTGTGGAGACCTCAGAGAAGCCTTCCAGTGTCTGAAGGGGGCCTACAAGGATGCTGGAGAGGGACTCTTCATCAGAGACTGTACTGACAGGACAAGGAGTAACAGGTTCAAACTTAAACAGGGGAAGTTTAGATTGGATATAAGGAGGAAGTTTTTTACTGTAAGGGTGGTGAGGCACTGGAATGGGTTGCCCAGGGAAGTTGTGAATGCTCCATCCCTGGTGGTCTTGAAGGCCAGGCTGGACAGAGCCTTGGGTGACATGGTTTAGTGTGAGGTGTCCCTGCCCATGGCAGGGGGGTTGGAAGTAGATGATCCTAAGGTCCTTTCCAACCCTAACTATTCTATGATTCTATGAGTATATAGTGGTCTGCATTGAGGGTAAACCAGGCAGGATCACTAGCTGGAAATGAGGTCCTGGCAATACTACACCTCTATCTACAGCAAAAAGTGTTCAGACTCTTCCAATACCTCCTTTTGCCTCTCTATTGATGAATAGCAGCATTCAGCAGTGGATAAGTGAAATAAAATCTTCCCTGTGTGGAAAAGCAGAAGTTCTGGAAGAAAGACTAATCATTCTGTTGTATTTGATCTTGGGAAAAATATGGTAAGCTATGTAACTGTGGCATATTTTCATGTATTAGTCCATTGTAATAAACAGTTGTCTTGCATTCAGCTAATGTAACAGGCTTCTTCTTAGTCACCTCCAGTTGCTAAATTCCAGTTTACATCAGACTGTCATATTTTTCTCATTTCTATTATTCCAGTTTTCATGTTTCCTCTGTGGTATTTCATAGTCTTTGTTGTACTTTTGTCTCCCAAATATGCTATGACTAAATTTTCTTTGCAGATTCATGCATTTTATGTCAAAGTCATTAATAAACACTCCATTAGCAATGTCCTTTCATCTGATAATTTCTCCCTCTCAAAAAACATAATCTGATGTGTTTTAAGTTCCTGGGTTTCTCAAACTACTGGCTTTGCTTAAACACTTAGAGATCTACCTCAAATTACTTTTTCATTTAATTTGCATGGTTGAACTTGTTAACTCTGAATCCAAATCTATTTCCCATGATCAGATCACCTATAATGTCCTCATCACTTACTAAAGCCAAGTCATGTCAGCAAATCTCTGGAGGGTATTTTTACTGCCTACAAATGCAAGACTATCTCAGACTTACCAATAATAGAATCAATTGCTCTCCAACTTGATTCTTGATGTTAAATTACCTAAAACAACTATTGCAGTAGTAATTATCATTCTAAGAACATTACAGAACTCTCTTGGCAGTGAAAAAGGATCCTGGTGGCATACGGTATGCTGGCAGTGATAATCCTTAACCAAACTGTGACTGGTGCTGTCAATAACACATAGTGCTGCTCCCTGCCTTTTCCTGAGAAGCAGCCACTGGCTTTAGAGTATTCATGACTGCAACTGCAGGACAGGTCTTCTTGTCCCAGTACACTTGCTCATACCTATATGAGTAGCTCAAGGTCCTTCTCTCTGCTGCATACTCTTGCTGCATTTGCATATTCAACTTTCTGTCTTCTCCTTCCCAGTCACACGTGTAGAAAGATCTTGCCAGTTCAACTACTGTATCTTCCTTTGCTGTCTATGGGTCTACTCTGTGACATTCCTTTCTGCACTGCTATGACCACATTTGTTTGACTGTTTCATTTACCACATACTCAGGCAGAGCCTTGAGATTTCCCAAGTGTTTCCCAGCCTTTTCCTGGTGTTTCTTTAAGGCTGCTCTTAAAAATGAGGCCAACACTAGTGTCTGCAGTGGTATTGCAGGTGCTTGGGTAAAACCTATCTGTTGAGAACATCTCTTCATAATCACACACCAAGGCCCAAACTTCCACCAGTCTTTTTCAAACCTTAGCTGCCTGATAACCTTCCCTATCACTCATTCGGTAGGGGCCAAAATTATTCCACTGAACATGTGGGAACCCCACTTCTTTGAAAGCCTTCCCAACGTGGCACAGTCACCCTCAATAAGCTCCAGCAGCATCCTCTCAATGTCATTTGTGCTGATGTGAAGGACAACCAGGGGACTGCTTCCTGATCCCACTGCAAAATTTTTCAGATTTAAGATTCTATTTTATATCCACATTCTAAGCAAAAAGCACACTGTTCCTTCATCAGGTTCTTGAGGCTCTGTGGCACAACAGTGGCCCAGGTTTTGGAGGCAGAACAGCCATGTATGGACTGCTGTCCTCCTGTAAGCGTTAGCCTTGCAAGGAAGCAGTGTATTGTGCTCACTGGATGATTCTGCTTCCAGGACTTAAAAAATATTGCTCAGAAGTAGAATGAGGTATGTGAACCTTTACAGACCTACAAGTCCTCCATCTCATAGTAACACAGCTCTATCTTTTTCTGATAGTGGCCCGAGTCTCTGATCCCTTCCCTTTTGTTTGCAGTTATTCTGTCTTCTCTCCTTTTTTACAGTCCCTCTATATTATCTACATTCTTTATCTGGCCAAGCCTTGATCTTAGCTTGATAAAAATCTGTGGGTTTAAAAAGCTATGTCTTCCTTTCAAGGAATAGCTTTCTTCCTCTACCACAGCCCAAGGTACAGGGTCCTTACATGTTTGTAGGTCAGTTCCCTCAGCAGCAGAATCACAATGATAAAACTGCTCTGAGAGTTGTTTGATCCAAGCTGGCTTGCTCAGCCACATATGTGGAGATCTGCATACGATCCCATGAGTACCTCATTGTATTTCAGACCTTCTATTCAGCCTTTTCACTTTCCATCAGCAGACTCACCTAATTTCACTTGAAGTGGGGACGGCTTATAGTTCATGGCTACAGTCTCTCCCTCCCTCGTATCACAATCTCTGTCCGAAATAGATGCAGCTGTTGGATCCTGTTGAAAGACAAAAGGAAACAAAACAGAATGGTTTAGCTAAAAGTTATGCAGTCTCTTCTCTAACTTGCTGTTAGGCAAGTCCATCCCCACCCGCATTCAGAATGAACAAAGAACATGCCAGTGTTTTGAATGGCTGAAACCCAGAGGCAAACCACAGGACTTTGGAAGCACATTTAGTATGCTAAAAGTACCTCTGGAAAAGCCAGATTTCAACATCAGACTTACATGATGGATGATACTGGGAATATAATGTGGAGGGTGGGTCACCAGTTCAAATTCAGCCTGGGTTGGCAACCGTCCCAAACCATTTTCACTTGATGACTCTGGGGTGTTGCACGACGTGCATTTACAGTTTCAGCCGAGTCCCAGGTGGACCAGTCAACCTCATGATTAAAACTAAAAAGTTTGTGACCAGCTCTTTGTGAAAGTCCAGCTCAGAAGGAATGAGGACTGAATGAGTGGGAGAATTCAATCTCTGGTCCCCTTGGGAGAAGAATAAAGATGCACGTATTTCCAATACTGAATCGCTTTCATGGCTAACTGTGGAGATTTAATTTCAGTTATCTCTCAGCAGCACAGCATCCTTCTTTGTCACTAAAATGCTCCCAAAACCCAAAGCTCCCCGTTATGCCTACTTGCATACAACCTAAACCAGGTAGTCTCTGCTACCACATGCCAAAGGGTTCAGAGAGGGACAAACTACCAATTCAAGCACTTCTACCAGTATCTAAGAATATTTAAAGTCCTTTCAAGCAAACTTCACACCTGTTGGAACTCTCTCTACTCAGCATCACCATGACAATTAAAAATGTTTTCAACCATGTTCACTTTTTTCCTCCACGAAGCTAGAAACTAAATTGGACATGCATGCATATACATACACCTATATTTGTATGCAAATTTGGATTTGCCAGACTGAACAGCAGCTGAATGGCAAAAACACAGCAGCTGAAATTAAATGAAGCCAAAAATGAAGTGGTGCACCAAAGAACAACAATCCCAACTTTATAAATTAAAATTATGAGCTGTAGGTAGCTAGTATCACTCAAGGAAGAGATCCTCGATGACAGGTTCCATCAGGTAATAGGCACAGATCTACAGAGGGAGAGAACTAGGGAGGCACCACCACAGGTTCATCATGTTCTTGTACTCTTGGGGATATGATATAGGGGTAGCTGAGACCTTTCATCTGACTTGAAACAGCCATCCTTATTTTTTGTGTTAGAATCTATTCTATGATATATCTCAGCTCAGCCAAAGGCCAGTTCTTGTGGTATCCTCTAAGTACAGGATCGGTCTCAAACACACTCAGATGTAGGAACTAGACCAGAATCCAGGCCCTAGGAAAGGATATTCATGGGAATAGCCAGATAATGTAAAGGGCATGCCTGTTTCCCAGGCACGCTAGAAACTCTCCAAGAGGAATGTGTAAGATGATAAGTGGCACCACCTGAGTGCAGGCTTCCTGGATGAGAATCTTACATCCAACAGTCTGGGAAAAGACAGGATATAGACATTTTTAAGGAACATGACTCCAAGAGCTGGATGCTCCCTTAGTGCTACTGAACACAAACAAGTCCTTGGAGCCCTAATCTGCTGGCGGCAGGAAGGCATGGGAGTTATTACAGTTAAGGACATGGTGTGATGGCCATATACTGCCTCCTATGATGGTGCAGTACAGCTCAGAGCCAAGTGAGCTCACAACCAGCAGTTCACATGGCAGAGAAGGAGCCTGGCCACCCAGACTACCAAAGATTCATGTTGTTAGAATCATGTTTGAACTCTTTAAATCAAAACCAGACCTTACTTTTCTCAGCAGCTGATGTGCTGACAGTAGCTTTTCCTTGTGGGTGACCTGCCAGTGAGATTAGACATCCATCTGCATGAACAGAGTGAGAGGAGAAATATTTTGAGGTGCCTGTGATGATTTGGACTCTGGTCCTGGACCAGAGGACTCAGTTGGAGCAGTCTCAAAGCTAGGCTCTAGACCAAACAAATAGGAAACGATCCTTAGAACTCCAGAAAAAAAACAAAGATGATTTTCAAGGAGCAATTCATTCCATCATGTCTTAACACTCATCTTAAACGGAGAAGAATCCACCCTTGGAGATGTGTCTCCCTCTCTCCACTGCCTATAGAGGAGGCCTCGCAACTGGTGGAGACTGCATCCCTGCTTCCGACATGGGGCAGATGAAGGACACAGCAGCAGAGTCCATAATAATGCCAGTCCATACCATGAATTCATCTCCAAGGTTTGGAACAACACTTTCCTGCCCTAGCAGCATGGCATCTCTACAGCAGACCTGCAGGGCAACATGTTATGGCCACACAGCAGACCCATGGCTTGCACAGAGGGATAACAAAGCACCAGCAGCTTCTGGGTGACCACCACTGCATACACAGACAAGACTGCTCTCTCCTGAGAGCAAAATGTATTGAAAAGGAAACCAAGCTGGGCCAGAGACAGCATTCCCAGTGCCAGTGGGTATTCATCCCCATCCCAGGAGTGCCAAGGCACTGTCGTATTTCCCATCCATCACTTCATATATGTTCTGCAGCAATGCACAAGACTCCATAGTAACAACCCTGGCTGCGAGAATGACAGCATTCCCACGCAGCTCGGCTGGAGCTGCCTCTTTGCACGAACACGCTTTTCTTCTGTGCATACTGAACGGGTTCTTTCTCTATATCTCATCCACTCAGAGAAACGTTTACTTGACTAATTAGCCTCTTGCTTGTGAATGCCTGTGAGCACACCGAGACTCACTGCAGGCTTTCGCTACTGCAATTCACTTGGTGATTTTGTCATTTTTTACAAGCCTCTCCAGGCTGATGCATTCAGCACTGACCCCGACATCAAAATCTCAGCTACGTGGTGAGACCAGTCCCAGGCCAGACAATGTGATTTTTCTCTGCTTGCTGGGGGTACACTCCCAATCAAAAGGCAAGTGCTGAGATGTAGCTGCAGGGGGTCTAAATGGTGATGGAAATTTAATATTTTCAAGGGACTTTTTTGTTCCTGAGGCCTCCTTGTAATTTCATTCCTAGGGGGAAAAATACATTAAATGAGGCCACTTTATGAATATTTGGCTGGAACCAGCGTTTAACCAAAGTTTTCTCCCCACATCCCGCATGCTCACAGCTTGATTGGGTATGCACAACTACAGCATTCAAACGGTGGGGTGGTTCCTTACTAGTTTGTTTTTTTCTCTAGGCTTGACAAAATGGACCTCAAAAACTGCTCTCCTGCTAAACTGCCACGTCCTACTCTGTGTGTACCATGTGCTGTTTCTGAACAACAGAAATTAATTGCAGTGAACCTTTATGGAGCATGAGTGCTGTGAATCCTCAATGTACAGGAGCACAGAGAGAAGCTGAAAACACTTCAAACCAAAATCAGGAGTTTAAGGAGGATGACACACAGCAGGCTTTTTATTCTTCCTCCTTTTTAAAATCCCTCCTTCTGTTTTTGCAGTACTTAGCAAAAAACACAACATCTGCCTTAATGCAACAGGTCAGTAGCCTCTTTACTCTTGTCACCTACCTCTCCCAATAGCCCACACTGGACAGTAGCTTAATAAACCTCTTCTTTCCATCTGTCCTCTGGGACCCCAGTGCATGTGGAAGAGAATGGACACACACACAGTTTCTGAGAGCTTCAGCTCCCTTAGAAACATCCTGGCGGTGTTCAAAGCCAGGCTGGACAAAGCCCTGGATGACATGGTTTAGTGTGAGGTGTCCCTGCCCATGGCAGGGGGGTTGGAGCTGGGTGAGCTTGAGGTCCTTTCCAACCCTGACTATTCTATTCTATGATTCTGTAATTGGAAACTGAGATGTCTGTACCAGCCCACTCTTGCCAAGTGTAAAAATCAGTCACTGTTACAGCCTTAAGAAAATGTTCTCCACTTTGCTGTCTGTGGGAAATTCAATGATCATTAAAGCAGCTCTGCTTTTTGATAAAAACCAGAAGGGCACAATTGCCCTTACCCCCTAATTCTGAGGAAAGACACAATATACAGGGCTTTACTTGCCACTTCTCTCCATAGTTCAGAGATTTTGCTCTGATCATCAACTGAAACAGTATGAGCTGACTGCTCAGGAATACCATCCAGCTACCTTTGTCTCTCTCTGCTATCAAGCAATGATGTGCTTGCTGTCTTCTAACTTAGAGATGCTGGTACTCTCAGTACCAACATGTGTGACAGCCTGCAGTGAGTGCTTGCAGCTCAGCAGACTTCTGCTTTCTGAAGCCGCCCATGTGGATTCACTTGCTGCAAACAAATGCTAACAAGAAAGGACAAGCCCAAGCATTTTGCTTCTTTTCTACATCAAATATTAAGTTTGGAGAAAACTGATAGATGTTCTGTGCATGGGAGACTGACTTAGTGTGCAGGAAAACAAGTGAGAAACCGCATGCACCCCCAGTACAGGGGGTACATTCAGGTCACTGAGCAGTTTCTATCATTCCCATGTTGTCATCCAAGACTCTCAGGCAAGAACATTGCTACTGCTAATAAATATTTATGCCTTCAGTCTCTCTGCCCTGGGAATAGAAAATCCTATGCCCTTTGCAGATTTCCTCTGCCTCAAGCTGTACTGCACTAGGTTATCCTGAGAAAGGCAGCTGTAGGCTGCACGCTACTGGGGAGTCCGATGTGCACAGGTGGTTAAAAGCAGCATCTCACCAGTATGCTGGACAGCAAACCTTTGCAGCATCCAGGTATCACTACAATACAGGCATCAAATATCTATGGACATAAAGTGCTTAAACCCCCCACATCCCCCCTGGGAACCGAGATATGCATCATCTATCCGTGTAAGAAACTGCATAAAAGGAGAAGCTCAGATTTATAGTGGATGAAGCTGAATCCACCATACAGACGAACAATGGTCAGTAATGGCATGTCCAGCAGGAGAAAGGAAAGTGTCACTGGGGAATGAATGGCATGAATGGAACTTGCAAGCCTCACAATGGACTCTGTAATGCTCTCCTCTGC